TTTTTGTCTGGGCCTGTACTCAAATCACACTGCAGGGCCATACGATGCAGCGCCCCCGCCTCAGCCAGACACTTCCGTGGTCATTTATCGGGTGGTCGTTATTGGCAAGCCAAAAAGTCGAGCGCTGTTCCTTGGAAGAGACTAATTCGGTCTATCCCAGTCGGTCAGGTAAGGGGAACGCCACCAGGGAGCGGTAAACAGTAAACTGCAACAGATCACCCCAGCCTCGACCGCCGGCGACCAAACTCTGGCATGCAGCAGCGGACCACGAGGTAATGGGAACGGGACCACGCGACCCCCACCGAAACCTCCATCTCTCTCTCTCTCTCTCTCTCTCTCTCTCTCTCTCTCTCTCTCTCTCTCTCTCTCTCTCTCTCTCTCTCTCTCTCTCTCTCCCTGGCTCGGAGCCAGCCCGTGATTTATCCTAGTGTAAGCCTGTGTGCTCTCGTGTTCCCGATATCCCATCGATTCCAGCCGGGCCACTAGCAAAGCGAACGAAGCAAATACTGTAACAAACCGCGCTGCGTGGCAACCGGATCTCGCCAGCGGTTCCAGAGCAGCAGTCATTGGGCATCGCCTCTCCTGAGCAGAGCAGCCCCGGTCGGCAAATACACGCTGGAGCCGCGCGGTCGACGGCGCCCACGGGATGGCGGGCCTGATGGCCTCCATTACACCGCTGGGATGGGCGCCGCCGGCTCGGGCGCGCTCCGCTGCGTTACGAGCCAGCTCCGAAGTGGCTCGCTGTTTATGAGCCTAATTACCGGAACGTCTCAGTGCGCGGCCGCCAATAGAGCTGGCGGCGCCGCCGGGGCGGGTGAGCCGCTGCACTTCGGGCCGAGAGGAGTGAGCTGGCGGCGCCGCCTCACTCCGGGCCCGGAGGGGTGAGCTGGCGGCGCCGCCTCACTCCGGGGCCGGAGGGGAGAGCTGGCGGCGCCGCCTCACTCCGGGCCCGGAGGGGTGAGCTGGCGGCGCCGCCTCACTCCGGGCCCGGAGGGGTGAGCTGGCGGCGCCGCCTCACTCCGGGCCCGGAGGGGTGAGCTGGCGGCGCCGCCTCACTCCCGGGCCGGAGGGGAGAGCTGGCGGCGCCGGCGAGGCGAGCGAGCCGTGGCACTCCGGAGCCGGAGCGAAGAGCTGGCAGCGCCGCCGCACTCCGGGCCGGGAGGGATGAGCTGGTAGCACCGGCGTGGCGAGCGAGCCGCCGCACTCCGGATCCGGCGGGGAGAGCTGGCAGCGCCGGCGAGTGGAGAGGGAGGATATACCGAACATACTTGGCCAACTATTCATCAGCGCGTGCGTCAGGCGCCGGCCACGGAATATCTCTGCACCGAAGGCACCTGATGAACGAGGGACCCTAGCCTGTCGACGAGGCGCTAATACTTCAGTAATGAGGCTGGTGAGGCAAACGCGACGATGGCTGGAGAAATAAGCGACGGTGGCTAAAGAAATAAGCGCTGTCGTATTTTGTGATGTCGGCATTAACCATGAAGAGGCCATTTGTTTGATACTTGGCAGTTTCCGGGCCAGAGTTCGTTAACCGTCCCGATGAGATAGTTGCCTGCAATAAGTTATGATGTGGGTTATTTACGGGAGGAGCAGTCTTTCGTAAAAGACCTGTTCTCGCCCTCCGAATGAAGTCGCGGACAAAATATGGACCTCCGTTGGTCCCTTACCAGGTGCGACAGCCCCACGAGAACGCGCTCTCTTCAGCGTCACACATCAGCTCATGTGACGCTGAAGAGCTCATGCTTAGCTGCGCGTGTTCGAGCTGCATTCCAGACCAGCGGACTTTATTACTGTCCGCTGGAGCTTCGTGCACCGCCTGAGGTAATGAAAAGGAGCTCACGCTACTGCAGGCCCGCTTCTCTTCCACCTAGATACGCGAAATTTCTCAGAAGTCCAACCACCTTCTACCCCGCCTGAACGAAATTTCAAAGCCAACCCCGATTAGAAAGCCTCACCGATCCACTGCCACCATGCTCATTCAGGTTAAGCCGTCACAGCTAAATTCATGTCCATAACGCGCAGGCACTGCATGCCAAACCACGTCAAACCGCATTAGCCGTGACCATGCGTATCGCCATGGCCACTCGCCTGCAAAACATCGGTCTTTCGGGATTCGGCGCGGCGTTCATCCGCCATCTGCAACTAGCACTGCATTTCCCTCGCGATTTACTTCTGTGTGGAGCACTGACATCTCAGCGAATTTCAAAAGCCTCCGATAGAAATATCGCGGCCTGGAGAGGACGTCGGACGCTGCTGACGTCCGCCCGGCTGCCCATCGGCCGCGAGCGGGTGCCACTCCACCGAACGGCGAGGGGGGAGGGCGAGCCAGTCGATCCGTCTGGTGGACGGGTGCCGGGCCGGCGCCAGATAACGCCACCGCCGACTCCTCACCGTCACGGGCGGCCGTCACAAGAGTGACGCGTCGGTCGGTCCGCTGACGGCTCCGAACCTGGCCGGGCGACCTCGTCCCGCCCCGCCCGACAGAAACGCCGCCGCCAGACGGCGCTTTCACCGGTGCTGTCAGCGCTAGCCCGCCGGTCGACTCAGGGACAACCGCAGCTCGACGGAAAGCCCTGTCACCAACAACAACTGCCGACAAGGAGCCCTGCGCCCACCGCCACTTGACAGAAGGCCCCGAAGCCATCACTAGTCAACAAGAGGCTCCGCAGTGACCACAGACCGAAAGCAGGCCCTGATGCAACCACTGCTCTACAGGAAACCCTCGGGCGATCACAGCTCAAAAGGACCTGGGGCTTCCACAGCTCAACGAAAGCCCTCAGCCACCACAACTCAACAGGAGGCCCCAAGGTCATTAATGCTCGTCAGGAGGCCCCGGCAGACTTCGGCCGGCCCGTTAACGGCGCTCGACCGACCGGCTCGGCTTCGACCGCACTCGCCGGCGACACTGCAGCCGGCAGACGCCCTGGTGGGCTGAACGTATGACGCCGCCGTACATGGTTTATTGCATATCGAATCGATCTATGACGTCAAGAATCGGGAAAGCGTCCTTCGGATACGCCGCCGAGTAACGGACGACGGCACTCGGCTGCCGCCCGGACGTGATGGCTAACTTATCTCGGGGAGCATTCAAAAGACTGACAAGCGCGGCTTATCAATGTTTAAAATAGTGCCAAAAGGAGCCGGCTTTTAGCGGTGAAATTTGTGTAAGGCCACAGGATCATGCAGTTGGTCGACGTACGACTGGATCGGCTGGAATATCACAGACACGCGGATCACAAAGTGCCAGTTGCACGTGGGTGTTAGAGCGGCGAGCCTCACATTACCGGCTCTCATCAGACTTGTTACACCGGGCATACTGGGCAGAGTCCCGTCAAATGCCTGCCGACCAGGCTGGTATACAGCGGGTATCAATCCACCAAAGGGAACAAAAATAAAAAATTAAAATTATCACTTGTCCGAAGTCATGTCTCTCCTCTCTTCCATGTGGTGTTTATTTGGTGCGCATTACCGAGTCAGCTCCGGTCTACTGTACGCAGAACAGACAAGCCTCCATTGATTGGTTATCTGCGTACATGTCTATGTGTGACGCCTAGACGCATGATGTGTTTGCAATGAGGGTTCTCAGTCTCCACATCAATAACGTAGCTGGAACTTCCGCAGAAACATTCTTGAAAGTAATCAGTGGATATCCGATGCGTTGGTGGGAGACGGAAAATCGTAGGACATAGCACGCGGTTCTGCACATCATTCGTCTGCACCTCACGCCCAGAGACTTCTTCGTAAAATCTTTCCCCAAAGAGTTGTGGCCTTCGTAAGGGGTGCTGTGTAGCCTGTCATGAAACCATACTACAGTGTCATATTCCCAGCCTTTCGTGCCAAAGCGCCCAATCCAGTAAAACGAGTGCCATTTTCCACATTTTCAGCCATTCGTTCTTTATGCCGGAATTTATATGCATATTGTTTAATTCAGCTTGAGTAAAGCTGAAGGCTGGCGCGTTATATAATTTTCCTAGAGCTACTTCAGCCCCAGATCATAGTTTCTGTGTGGCGCTGTTAATGCAGGTGCGCAGTATGTCATCAACACTGGCAATGACTTGCTCCAGGCAAAATACCGGCTGAGTTGGAAAAAAACTACCAACTGCTGCGTGCAGATAGTCTCCAGAGAGGCTCACCAGTACTCAGAAGCCTGAGCTGCATGCAGCTAATAGGCTTAATAAAGCATGACACTCGTTACAAAGCGCTGCATTTTGTAGGTCGGTCAAATGCGTTTAGATACAAATGCCCCCGTCCCCTCTGCTGGCCCAATCCCTGTTTAACCGGCAAAAATAGTTGGTGTCGTCCGATGGCCAAACCAAAATCACAAGAAGCTTCATCCTTGAAGTGGCAGAGCGAGGCGCCTCCATGGGTCGAGGGCCTTTAAATGATTGATGCTGTGACGCGATTGCCTTAGCCCTGTCTAGTTGATTTATGCATGCAGTAAATCTACCACTATTGACACTTGCCCTCCAAAGCAGACCACGTTTATACACGCGTTCGCCGGCTGGCGCCTAACTCAGCCGAACGTAGCACTAATCCCAGGCGCCGTCCTCTGTCCATAATGAAATGCTGAGAGCACACGCAATAAGAAAGTCGTGTAGCTCTCCCACATAGCAGCAAGCGATGCTTCAGAAGTCTAGGCATCCACTACGTAATGAATTATTTGTAAAGCCTTTGCTTCTGGTATCTTCAGGCGCCCAACAACGCGATCTGACTAGCCAGCCCGCATCGACGAAGCCGACAAAACGTACCTTCGTAGAGCCAGTCGGGCACGCCGTTGAACACGACGCCGGGCTTGCCGGAGGCGGTGACGCGCTCCACCGGCTCAGCGCCGGCCGACGCCTTGTAGTAGATGTCGTTCTTGTGCACCATGACCAGCGCGTTGCCGCGCCCGCGGGTCACGTTGTTGGTGGGCACCCAGGCGGCGTAGTTAAGTGTCGGGTGGCCGCGGTCCTCGGGCGTCGGCGTCAGCGGCGTCGAGAACCTGGCCACACATCGACATCGAGGTCGATCAGCCTCGACAGCCGGCAGCTTCATACTGGCTTTGAATTGCTGAGCTTTCAGAAGAGGCTCAGCTTTTTGGAAAGCACTTACAAAGTCAGACCACCTAAGGAAACACGAGCCACTGCATGTACGACACATCATCCAGCTGTGGTAGGTCTTACGAAGGAGAGAGAAGTGGCCCTCTGTCGGTGTGGCGGGGTGATCCTCTGAAGCCTGGTGTCGCATGCATGGTTCGGATGGCGATCACCGACACAGCGTGGCATGGGTAACAACGATCCATAGAGAGCAACACTGGGAGGTTTGGAAGATCAAGGAGGTAGCATGTCTGGTATTAGCTGACAACCCCATCAGTAGGCCAAGCGTAGATACCAAACCCATATGGGAACCATCTGTGCGGAAAAATACACAAATATTCAGGAGATAAATGACATCGAGTCCCAACGCCGAACGATTGTCCTTTCCAGTCAGCTCAGTTGGTAGAGAACTTGACTCGCATTCGGAAGACCCTGCTTCGAATCCAAGCTACTTCCAGGAAACATCTCGGGCTATAACGCGCCCATGGCTGAAAGCCAAACATCATCCCGTTCTTCTCAGTATTTCATAACACCTGACGATGACAGGAGAATTCTGGCCGAAGCGTGGTGTACATGCCAGCACACCAGGCTAGGACGACAGTCCAAGCATTTTTCCATCGATGCGTTTATAACTGCAGCGGTTGGCAAGCTGTGACAATCTCTCCATTACAAAACCATCAGCAAGCTGTCTCGGGCATCCCGGGCCTAACTGGACGTGGAGGTCAGTTATTCGACACGCCAGCACACACCCAGCGACTGCCAGCACACACTGCAGCGACCGAACACCAAAGACTCACGCGACCGGACCGTGCGGCCGGCATGGTAGCATGCTGAACAATATATGCCCAGAAAGTATTCGAGATAACAAAACGCAGCCAACATTTTTCCAAAATTCAGAAGAGGAGCACGATCGCCGTCCGTCGAATCCACCGTCCCCGGGGCCACCCAGCCATAGACATTAGCAATTATCGACTTCCCCACCAGGCTTGGGTGGTTTCCCGCCGCCGCCAACGTCAGGAAACGGCCAGGGAAAATTATTGCAGTCTGTCCAACTAAAAATGAAAAGCACGAGCAAGTTCGCTAGACGAGACATCCCGTCCCATCGAAGTGAAAGAGATGCGTCTTATACAACGAACGCTCCGCTGCTCGCGGTGAGACTTAAACTCGGCGCTCCAAAACTTCTGCGCCGCGCGATAGCGGAGGAAACAGGAACCCATTCGTCCTCGGGAACGGGAACTTGTCGCGGTGCAGGGTTCGTAATGGGGAAGAAGTGGGGTCAAAACTAAACTCTCTGAAGCTGTGACAGCGTTTGCACTGCAGAGAGGTGGAAAGGATCCATCGCCATGTTTCCGACACTGGGTGTACTGTCTAGGGAGCGCGCAGATCACCGCACCCAAAAATGTGTGGCATGGTGCTCGACAGCAAAGCATCGGCCCCAAAACCGTCACTGCACGCATTCCATTCTGTCTCATCCGCCCAAAAAACGACGCAGAAATAGTTTTTTCTGGACCCTGTAATTTCTGAAATGTTTGGATACGACGCCAGGAACTGTACAACCGACTCCTTGACAGATACTTACAATTGAACAAACCCCATACCAAGTTCGTTGACGCCGACTAAATTTAAGTAAAAGACTGCCTGTCAATGTTAAGCGCAGTCATATAACTTCATTTCGCTATGTGTTCCAACTAAGCCGTTGACAGCTTACAGAAACGTCCCATCTGTGAACCAAAATGATTTACAAAGAGACTTCCCAAAGCCGACGAGCCCCCATCTGATACTGCGGCCCGAAGCGAGATACCGAAACTAAACGTTTGAAGCGACCCTAACGAGCCATGCAAATGGGAATCAGTGTTCATTACAGCTGCGATTCCCCACATAAATCAGGCCGGAGAGGCGTTTCCAGCGCGGATGGCGGTAGCTCGCTGCGGCCAAGGGCAGCGTCCACCGGGCTAGTTCAGTCTGCGGTGACCAGCCGGCCGATCAGCCAGGGACACTGCCACGGGCATTTCGTTCGGCGTCAGCTCGGTCACGGATACAAACCAAAGTGGGCTTCGATTGGGCTTTCTGCTCAGTTATCTCTGATATCTGCTGTCCGTCAAGTAGGCTCCTATTGAGTTTCCTGCACGGTTATGTTTAGTATCTCATTTTCCTATCTAAATAGTATATGTTCTAATGCTATCAGGTACCTAAATAATATATGTTTTGATGCCTTTTCATATCTAAATAGTATATGCTATAATGCTATCAGGCATCTAAATAATGTATGTTCTAATGCTATCAGTTATCATGTGTAGATAATGAGCAAACATTCGCTAGGGTGCCGAGCGTGCAGGGAAATCAATATCAATGGGTGTGGTCAAACAGTTCCAATGTTTTCCATTCACAAGAGTTTAGCAGACAGAGTCGCGCTATCGCATTTGTGCGCTTTTTCGCCGTCGTTTCGCTTGAAAATTGTCTGTTTGCGAGTCTTGCATGGCGAAGTAATGTCATTTGATCACGCCTGTTACGTTGCAATAATTTGCCCTTCGGTGAACTGTGGCCAACATATTGCATCAAAACAAATGTTCGGGGCCAGCGTTTTGACAGTGAGCGTGGCTTGTGTGGCAGTGCGGTAACAACTCTCCCACAAAGGCTGGATCAGATCATATTCCAAACCACTTTCGGGCTATGCGACTTGACTTCCTGTCGGTCAATTATAGGAGCACTTGCCGATCAGGTCAGTGTTGAAATTGCTTCGCGATAAGTAGATGATGCATTTGCCTGCCGACGGGCAGCTGGTTGTCCGCCGTTACCTGGCCTGGTGAGAGGTCTCCAACAAGACATTCAAAACACTTGCATATGTGGTTAGTTTGCTCTACCCAGCGTGTTGCAGATTGCCATGTGTACGGCTTTGTAATGCTGATAATTCAATATAGTAGGATGTACCGGATAAAAGGCGACATCAAGAAATACAGGAATACATGACACTTCTAACGGCACATCCCATGCAAACTGAAATGTGCGGGAAATTATGCCTCCTTAGCCCGTTAGCCTTAAGCAATTGCTTTGATGACAAGTGTCTTCACCTCACCCCCGAAACATAACATCACGTAAGATCACAGTGACGGAAAAAAATACCACACGTATCCTTATTGTAGAAAAAAACGTGCCTGCGTAAAATTTGCCCTCGTTATGAGCAGGAAAGGCCTCGAGCCCCGTGGCCGAAGGCTCAGAGCACTCTAGATGCACTCAAAGCACGCTGGACGCCAATTAATAAAAACATCTTAAAAGAGTACGGTTCGACATTACCGTGGTCTGAGCAAGCGCTAAGGTGGATTATCTTCTCTCTTTTTTGTTCTGCTTGGACGATTAGACGTCCATTGTGAGAGCTCGCTGTGTCAGTGGTGCCAACTGCAGCTGCGATTGGGCCATTGTGGAATGAGCCTTTGTGAGGACCAGGTATGTATGTACCTGTGAGAGGCCCGATGGCATGGGAATAAGAGAAGAACTATCATTTCCTTAATTTTGTGATGTGCTGAACCAATTCAATGACAATGCCTTACTTTGACTGCCTTTTGTTTATCTCTGTCGCTGAGGAGCCAAGGATGTTCAGCTGAGACAATAAAATGCTCGTAATGTTCCACTCCAAGATTTAAGCGACAAAACATCGTAGGTTGCCTTGCTACCACCTCATATACACCACATTGTTAGGTAATTCCGTGGTTGCGGCCTAAACATACGATCGCGATATGGGCCGGTAATTAGTAGTAAAAATTGTTTTGGGGTTACTGGGTTACTCATACGATTCAGTGTTTTAAGCCACGTTGCCTGCCCGGATATTGGTTTGACTTTTCATTCCGAGCCGTGGCTATATCCTTGGGGCCGGAAACAACTGGAGCCCGACGCGCTACAATCAGCGCCCTCGTGGTTCAAATTGTTCTGTTTATTGCATACGATTCCATGTGAATCGTGAAAAAGTGAGATAGCAATAGGTGTGAATCAATGTGAATCGATGTGACCGAATGAATGTAGGGATGCGAATCGATCCAAACCGAAGTGCCCTACAATCCTATGCGCGCAATGCAAAATCCCACATGAACAAAACACTCTCCCTTTAACCCACACCTCCTGGTGTGCTGAAGGTCGATAACCGTCAACATAACCACTCTGATAACTGTCAACATAAGAATCACTCAAAATGCCGAAAAACAGGACCTTAAAACCCTTCATGGTTACAACATGATACAGATTGCGCACATACGCCAACATTTTTTTCAATACGATTACCTCATTTCTATCCCGACAAAATGCGCTGATCTCATGTCGCTGCGACGCTAGGGTACGCTAGTACGGTCCGAGCCGCGCGTCATCTGCGTCCCAGGGACGTCCCATCCCCTCTCCCTCCTCCTCCCCTCCTCCCCGCCGGGGAGTCATTCTCCCCACAGAGCGGCGGCATCGTTGGGCAGATGTGTTTGTTCCGGAGGGAAGAAGAATGGTCGGATCGCTTCTCCGCCACAAGGTCTTCAGCATCAGCCAGATTTACTGCCGATTTTCGGCGATGAGATTGAAACAGTCAGTGGATAGGAGACGTACGGCATAAATAACATACGAATTGTTCTAATGCTTTGCAAGTCAACATTTGAGTGAGCATCATTATCCAAAGATAGCATCCATAATTTGTTCTTTTTGTGGCCAACTTTTGACAGGACCTAAATAATAAATGGGTAGAAAATGTATGGTACTGACTAGGGGTGTAGTTTTCAGTTTGGATGGGGCTGCCCCCCCCCCCCTCCCCCATCCTAGCATCACTGTTGAGTGCATTTTTTTTGGGGGGGAAGCTTAATTTTTGTTTACAGGACATCTCTCGACGTGTTTTGCTAAACCACGCTCTTGATACAAATGGGAATTAAAAAGAGCTCCAGTGCCTCCTAAGTCAGACAGGAAATCAGTGGCGATGAATGTCGCACCTAAATGCACATCCTACCGTGATATAGATTAACGAAAAACCTCGACAAAGGTCCGGTTGTCCCCCGCTCCCAAAGTGATAGACCATTTGAATCGGTAGCAGCCAACGAAGACGGCATAGAAACACTCATTAAACACGGGTCCAAAGGCATGACGTCTTAAACTAAGACCCAAAACACGGGTCCAAAGTCGTGACTTCTCAAGCTAAGACCCAAAACACGGGTCCAAAGTCGTGACTTCTCAAACTAAGACCCATAACACGGGTCCAAAGCCGCGACGTCTCAAACTAAGACCTAAAACACGGGTCCAAAGTCGTGACGTCTCAAACTAAGACCCAAAATACGGGTCCAGAGTCGTAACTTCTCTAAGACCCAAAACACGGGTCCAAAGTCGTGACGTCTTGAACTAAGACCCAAAACACGGGTCCAAGGTAGTGACTTCTCAAACTAAGACCCAAAACACGGGTCCAAAGTCGTGACTTCTCAAACTAAGACCCAAAACACGGGTCCAAAGTCGTGACGTCTCAAACTAAGACCTAAAACACGGGTCCAAAGTCGTGACGTCTCAAACTAAGACCTAAAGCACGGGTCCAAAGTCGTGACTTCTCAAGCTAAGACCCAAAACACGGGTCCAAAGTCGTGACGTCTCAAACTAAGACCCAGAACACGGGTCCAAAGTCGTGACGTCTCAAACTAAGACCCAAAACGTCACGGCGCGACAATATGCGGAATAATTTGAACCACGAGTGTGCTGTTTGAAGCGCGTCGGGGTTCAGCCCCAGCCCCTTCCTGCCCCATGGATATAGCCAAGGCTCAGAATGAAAAGTCAAACCAAGATCTGGGCAGGCAACGTGGCTTAAAACACTGTTATAACGGTAAAAGTGCAAAAATATGGATGAAACGAGCACATAGGGAGGGACGAACGTTCAGTCGGGAAAAATGGGAGTTTATATGCCTCCCGATGGGTTAAATTCATGCTAATTGCCAGGGCAACTTGGTGCCGAGAATCCGCGCTGGAATCAGGGACCCGTTCATAACAACGTATCTACAGCACAACTGAGACATCCGCCATACAGCGTCATCCAGACGCACAATACCGCGCACAGCCCAGCACAGTGGTGACGTGCAGCACTCCACGTGCAGACAAGTGGCTGACCCATGTCCGACGCTCCACTGCGGAGGGGAAGGGGGAGAGGGGGCTGGCACTCACCCTCGGGCGATGTCGTAGACGGTGTACTGGGCAATGTACGAGTGGCGAAACTTCTGAAACAGCACACCACCTCGTCAGTCGGCAGACAGTGCGCGCGGCGCGTGCTCTGCCCGCAGCTGGTACCGGGCAAAAGTGTATTCGGGACGTGTCGGTCAAGGTCAGCACGGATCAGCAGGAGTGGGAGGTGCTCAACACGGGTCAGGAGGAGTGGGACGTGTGGGTCAAGGTCAGCACGGATCAGCATGAGTGGGACGCACCGGTCTCGGTCAGCTCGGATCAGTGGGAACACCACACGGCAATTACGGTCAACACGGGTCATGAGGAATGGTACGTGGCGGGCAAGGTCAACATGGATCAGCAGCCGTGGGATGCGGGGGTCACGGTCAAGATAGGTCAGAAGATACAAAACGCGACGGTCACGGCCAACCTGGGTCAGCAGGAGTGGGACATGGCGTTCAAGGTCAACATGGGTCACCTTTGTGGGATGGGGCGGTCAAGGACAGCGGGAGTTAGTAGCAGTGGGATGGAGTGGTCGCAGTCAGCAGGGATCAGCAGGAGTGGGGCACAGCGGTCAAGGTCAGCAGGGGTAAGCACGGGTGGGACGCAGCGGTCAAGGTCAGCAGGGTCAGCCTCAGTGAAGAGACGCGAGCGCGAAACGGAATGCGTGGACCGTTATCGCCATTGACAACTCCTAAACGTCACCAAGAGAGCTGGGCCGGCCACATCAGTCATGAAGTCATCAAAGATGATCTTGTGGTGAGTTATGACCGTTCTCGCATGAACGCATACCTGAAATGTCCTAGGTCGGGATATGTTGTAAACATGCTAAGTTATCATGCAGGTTACAGTCCCACTGATCCCTGCACAGGCCTACAATAATACTCTGTCGACAAAAACAGACGAACAGGATCCCGTACAGAGTTGCTATTGATCACGGCATGATCGACAACTTGATCTGACACCATCTAGAAGAGCCCCACGACAGCGTGGCTTCGGCCTTTTCTGAGCCGTAACCAATCCCATTGAAAAGTTTAACGTTAATCAACTTAGCTGAGGGTCACAGAACGAAGGGTTTGTCGCAGAGGCGTATCTATCAACACCACCCTCCAAGCAGTTAATATCATTTATAGGCGGCCCAGAGCCAGCTAAACTTGCGTGAGCACTCTCCCCGGCAACACAAAAAGCTTACGGCTTCCAGAGTTGGTCTCACTGATGCAGTAAACAGTAATCTGCTGACTGGTCCCAGCCATAAAGCGCATATCACAAACGGACTGGCCAATACCAGCGCCAAAGTTTTCTGACTCTTCACCATAAGCCTGAGCACCGAAAGCGAGTACGAGCAGACAATAAAAACGAATTGCTCCATAAAGATCCACCAGGATATGGGTCAGCAGTCAGCTTTAAGTTTTTCACCTCTGTAGTCCAGTTGGTGGGACTCCGCAAGCGGTTAATAGATGGCATAGGCATCTGGGTTTCAGCCATAGAAATCGCACCTAGGCGGCTCGACCTGAACAATCGCCCGGAAATGAGTAAAACCGGCCGGGCTTAAAGGGGGCGGGGGACAGACGTACCAAGACATTGAGTGCAACGCCAACCCTTAAGAAGTGGTTCGTAAGGCTACATTGCTCTGCTGGGGTGATGACGCAGCTTATGCAGCCTGATATATGCTCGGCAAGAGCCGGGATACCAATCCGATCGTTACAACTGATGTGGTGTTGGCGGTTCCAGGAATGTAGCCATGAGAGGGATGGGACCATTTTCTCTGCGCGCCTGCGACACAGCGACCTATACTACTTCTAATTTCGAGCCGTCCTGCTCCGGTAACCGAACTGCTTCAGGTCTTGCGTCGTCCAAGAAAGTATGCTTGAGTTGAATATTACACAGATTGGACAGGCTCTCCTAATTCAGTCGAATTTCTTTTATTTGTCCCGTAAGTTGCTCCTACGCAGTGATAATCGCGCTAAGTTTCTGCCTTTGCATAGTGCCTTTGGCAGGCGAGTATCATGCGGTAGTGCTTTCATTACAGTGCTGATCAAGTGCTTGATGGAGGCTAGTCAGTTGATATAAAAATGTCGTTCATCTTTCAGTCGCCGGTAAAAATGTCCATATGCTTAACCACAAATAATACTGCTTCAATTTCACACCAAGGCATGGATGATCTTGGAAACTATTCATTAGAGTTATCGATGTGATCAATCTCAACAGGCACCTACCATTTGTATCTAAGGCAAAAACGCAAAAGCCAAAACACCAAAAACAAAGATGTAAAACCAAAAACATGGATGATCTCCGCAGAAAGCGATTAAACTCATCGACATTTCCAACCCAAGTAGGCGCCAATCGCTTGTACTATGGGCCTAATCATCTCAACTTAGTTAGGTAGTGCTTATGTCAGTGTCTAGGACGCCCCCCCTGCCCTCCAACCCCACCGCCCCCAACCCATTCTACTCCGGCGCCAGGCGCTCTCGGAGGATGGACTAAGGCGAGAAAGGGCCTTACGTGGCGTCACATCGAAAGAGAACACAGTGCAGGGGGCATTTCGCTTTCAGCACTCCCAGAAGTACCATGCCCTGCATGTACATGCAAATGAGTCCTCAAAAAGCGACTGATGACCTAGGAGGAATACAAACCAAATAAAGGTTAAAAAATTCCCGGAGCCAGCAATATAACTAAAAAAAACTGCACAGCTGTTTGCCAAAAGCCTATCAACTGACACATCGCGCGGGTGCCCACAACGCTTTTCACGAGCTACACGTACCTGGCGGATGTTGTGGGCCAGGAGGACGTACTGCTGGTCAGATGAGACCCAGAAATGCCGCACATTATGCTGCCTCTGTGAACGAGGAGGCACACACCTGTACGAGGTCCGGTGACACGCCGTCATCCCATTGCACTGCCGGCAGTCGGTACATGTCAAAAAACGCCTCGGGTTCGCAGCCAACGCTTAACAGAGGAAGTGGCTATCGTGCTTATATATCATACTCTGTTGCACACAAATTTTGTATAGATATAACTCGAGCATGCACGTTGAAATCACATTGCCACGCTGCTTAACCCTGTGCATGCTGAGAATACCACTGAAGATTCTTGGAGCTCGGGAGGTCGGTGTTAGCTGAGTCATGACAAAGTCGAAGAAGGGTCAGGCGTAAAGCGTACGTAATAATTTGGAGCCCGAAAAATGGCCTGGACCTTCTGCTGCAATGAATAACACCCTCCAACGGCTGAGAATACTGCCCGAACAAGGTCATGTGGACCATTTGCAGCACAATACGAGGACCGTCAATATTCGGTCTGCATAAGCATCAGCTGCATGACGTCATTTCCTTCGGGCGATATGGTAGGCTCAGAGCTGTCGCTTCTGCAGGCTCGGAACTGTCGACACACGCGATCTAACGTGCATCGCTCAGCGGGATCTCGTGACTAGGAGCAACGGCAGCGTCATGCATTTCATGAATACAATACAAGCGCATCGACATTAATCACCAGTGAATTAATCAACACTATGCTTAGCAGCAATTTACTGTGCAACGTCTATAATGAACGATAGCACGAGACACCCCATGTTTCTGCATGCGATTTTTTTCTTGCAAGAGCTACATTGTAGCAAAGCGTGGCTACATGGAAAGACCAGACTGCTACCGATTAAAATTTCATCGTGTTGTGTTAAGCTTTATCGGTTTGCCAAGATGGAATACCGCTTAAATACAAGCAACGTATGGCCAAGCAGTCAAAGGTTGCTTGGAAACAAATCAAATAGCGATACATATGCACTGTGATGAAGAAAGGAGAGGCGCTACGTCGGAGCTGCAAGCTAAGAGTTGTTTAAGACTCATGGTGATAAATCGGAGCCTGGCAGGGATTTAGATGGACACAAAGCAGTGAGAGGAAGTCTACTTCAGTCAGCCACACACGAAGCATGGATTGTACTAGTTTCGATCCAACGATCAGCAGCAGTTCCGCATACCACCTTGTTCTCAGACTAGATTTCTTCAGTTTCCAAATGCCTCGTGACTGGCAAACATTATGCACTGAACAAAACCCGCTGGTTGCTTGCAGGCAAGGGTGTCAATTTTTTAGATTAGTTCCAACCTTTTGAGTGGATGAGTTTCTGGGATCAGAGTCAGTTTCTTTGTTCAGCAATATAGCTCGACGTCCGCGGCTTCAGCCCGATTGCGCCCAGGGAATCTAAGTTCGGCACGCCACCATTTCGATCCTGCCTCAACTCGCATACTTTATTACGGCATATTGCGTCAGATAAACGGCACTCGAGTCGACTCGAATCTATTCTGAATAAGAAATGGAATTCAGTTGGTCTGGTGGACACTCGACAAAATTCGTGAGGTAGGGAGAGAGGATTGAGCTGGAAGGCGATGGATTAAACGGTCCTGAATTCAGGGATATCTCAACATCATTAGTTTTATTTACGCACAAAACGGGCGAGTTGGGAGCTTAGAAAGACGCAGCGGAAAGTGGCATTTGACATCGCACAAACACACAGCAGAGTGCAACCATCCTTTAGCAATTATCAGCTCCAAATCTCGCACCCGTCCATTGCGAAAAACACGGGGCGTGCAATATACACGGACGTTTTCACACAAACTCTCCAGATTTCACAAACGTCTCAGGAGATGGCCGCATCAAGTGCCTTCGACAACCTCGTCGGCGAATGTATATCATTTTCGCCATTTTCCACTTTGCCTAGCCCCCACGTCGAATCCGATTTCGATGATTTACTTCGCGTCCTCGCACTCTTCCGGAGCTTGAGTACCGGAGATTGGCCTGATCAAAACAAGCCGCAAAAAATTCAAACGACGGCACCATTTTGACGCCCGGACCATCCTCAATGTAGAGCAGCACAGACTATCCTCTATGTAAAGCGACTCAGACCATCCCCCTTGTAAAGCGGGGGAGGTTTTCAGGCATCGATCAATCAAAAAACATTCTTCATGGAAATCGGTGATTTTAAACTGAACCATCTTACGCCATGCCATACTTAGGGGCATGGCAAATATGTATGACCATGGCCGTGGAATGGCGTGGACCTGTAGGGGCTCCAACGTGCGACTCCAGGACGCATCGCGGCCTGTGCTTTGTACTGGCCGGCCTCCGCGCCACCCGTGGACTTACCAGGATAACACGTAATGACAGCATATTTTATGACGGGACAGAAGTTCTGCGACAGATTATTGCCATGTCATTAATCATTGCTAGAAAAAAATGGCTCGAGTATTTCACAGTCAACTGGGGACACATTCTACCCAAGATGCAACTCACAGGTATAGACTGTCCCGTATACCGATGTGCACAGCGGTGCAGTCTACCTTTATGAAGCGCCGAATGAGGGGAACCAAACATTCGACGACCTCTGAGAACAGGGATCCTCATGGGAGAGGAATTCCTTTACCCAATCCACCCCGCTGCCCATTCAAATTTAGTTGTGTCCAACTGTTTCTCAACCGTCGAGTTTTGGTCGGCACTTAAGTTAAGTTACGGAAACATTTCAGGGAATATTAGACATGTACATACTATTTCGCAATGGCAAATACTTAAGCAGTTTGAAGAAAGCTCGATTTGAGTAAAAGAAGCGCAAATGGTAATAGCATTGTGTAGCATTTCCTGAAGCATTTACTCGACACATCGTAAATATCTTACCCCAACCTTGACTAATTACCGTAATTTCCCAAAATCTGCGACCAACCCACTCCGTCGCCCATTTCATATTGGTGCTCGTGGGTCTACCGAGCCCATGAAGTACTCTAGCTGGGACCCAATACAATGCAATGCATTCAACCTTTCGACGTCCAACTATCCATAGCTTCCAGCAAGCCGTAGCCATGTGATCACCACAGCACACGACGAGTATGCCTGCCTTTCCCAATGGCTCGCCTAGCGAGGCACACACAGTCTCGCTCGGCGGCGAGGCGCGACTCGCGTGTCCCGCCTCGGCTCGTGTGTCAGTCTGGAGGCGCGTTACATGGCGGCGGCTCGTGACCTGTATTTGGAAGCGGTGCCGCGCTCGTCCCAGGCTGGACGTGACGTCTCCGGAGACCGCCTTGCGACCAGCGCACGAGCCAGCCCCGAACACGGTCATCAAACATTGACGACCGATGCTCTGAAATCGGCCGGGTGCGGCGCTGCACCCTGCGGAGAATGGACGGCACGGTGCACCGCGGCAGAGGGCGGACGGCACGGGGCACCGCGGCAGAGGGCCAGACTGCGCAGCAGACCACGGCAGAGTGACAGACGGCACAGCGGGCCACTTCCACCACACCGAGATCAGGTTACGGCGCAGTCACGTGACTATTCTTGGTCACGCTATTTTCGACTGCGCTGGGAGTCGACGCAGCGCGCTATGACATGACGTTAAGGTTTTAAGTCATTTTTTAAATATTTAAGAATGCTCCCGAAAATAGTTGGCGTATATAAGGAAAGAAAAATTTCTCCAAATTTGTAAATCAGTGCTTGTGAGCCGAAACACATCAGATTGGTGAGGAGTGTTTTCCGCATTTTCACGATATTCCGATCACTTAGCGGTAAAAATACTCCCGGCTGTTCGTAACAAGCCCTGCGTCGACAGGTTTTCATACTCTGTCTGATTTCAGCGCATCAATCGCAAAGTATGCTTGTTTCCGATGAATGCCGTTAGAAAGGTGAGTTCACGGTAAATGGACGGACTACACAGCGGGACACATTAGAGGGACGAACTGCACAGCGGACCGCGGTAGAGAGGTGGACTTCACAGTGGGACACATTAGAAGGATGGACTGCACAGCGGACCACGGTAGAGAGACGGACTTCACAGTGGGACACATTGGAGGGACGGACTGCACAGCGGACCGCGGTAGAGAGACGAACTTCACAGTGGGACACATTAGAAGGATGGACTGCACAGCGGACCACGGTAGAGAGACGGACTTCACAGTGGGACACAATAGAGGGACGGACTGCACAGCGGACCACGGTAGAGAGACAGACTTCCCAGCGGGACACATTAGAAGGTCGGACTACACAGCGAGACACATTAGAGGGACGGGCTGCACAGCGGACCGCGGTAGAGAGACAGACTTCACAGTGGGACACATTAGAAGGATGGACTGCACAGCGGACCACGGTAGAGGGACGGACTTCACAGCGGGACACATTAGAGGGGCGGACTGCACAGCAGACCACGGTAGAGGGACGGACTGCACAGCGGGACATATTAGAAGGACGGATTGTACAGCGGGCCACATTAGGAGCGGACTGCACAGCAGACCACGGTAGAGGGACGAACTACACAGCAGGCCGCATTAGAGGGAAGGACTGCACAGCAGACCACGGCAGAGGGACGGACTGCACAGTGACATCCCTGCCAAACGTATCACTAAATGCATCGCCAAAAAAAAACGCAGAAAGCAGCTTACTAGACGCTTTGGCCGCTGCCGGGGCGCAGCGACTGGCCACCGCGTACTTACGAAGGTGACGTTGCTGACCAGTGTGCGAGTGGCCAGACTCTCGCAGTCGAGCACGGAGAGGCCGCCCCACATGTCCCGGTACACCAGCTCGTGATCTGCCGACATGGTCACATGTTAGGCCCGCACGGACACCGGGCCCAGGCGGTCGCCCGCCGCTGCACCTGGCCAGCGTGTCAGCATCGCGTCCGCACAGCGAGTCACCAACGGCCCAAACAGCAGTCACCGGTCCGCCTACACCGCAGGGCATTACCCAACTCGAACGGCAGGTCACCACTCCACCCACAAGGCCGGTCACCGCCCCTTCCCGGTCACCGCCCCTTCCTGACAGCATGCCATCACTCCGTCCTGTCAGCAGATCACCGTCCGCGCCGACATCAGGTCGGTTGCCTGCCTTACTCGGGTCGGCTCGCTGAGCGACACAATCACCGCCGCGATAAATCCCGCTGCCGGTCGACAAACATGTTTGCGCCGCATTGGACAGCTTTGCGGCCGGGGTCCGGGAGCAGCACAGATGTTGGCCGGCCCGCCACCCACGCGCCGCCCGCTCCTCAATTATGGACGGGCCGCTGCGCCTCCAACGATCGGGAAATGGACAACAGGGCGTGTAGAGATAAACAAGCCGGCGGCGAGTGCGCCATCGCCGACACTGAGCTCATAGAAATGATCAGGATCCGTGACCCTCGGGACAGTTGCAACGTCAGGAATTTGATTATGTCGAGACAAGCCGATGCTGGCAAAGAACACTATTTCGAGCATGGCTTAAAGTAAGACATTATTTAATCTCGAGGATTTCGACAATTCCGTGCATGCGTGGCAGTGCGTAGTTACCCAAGTAACGGTTATTGGTCGTTTTGGCGCAAAAGAATTAAGCAAGCTCATATATTAATTTAGAGCAGGAATGGAGCACATTTGAAAAACTCAAATAACCTTAAGAGTAACCTAACATCAACAAATGGAGTGAGGTGCCACGAGACCCGATGACCATGGAATGGAGGCAAAGTATCTAAGCTCAACCAAATCCCGCAGACCGCTGTTGCTTAAGATGACCATCCCTTGCGATGGATAAACTCCACGGCATGGATTATCTGCTATGTGTGAGAAGATGCTCCACCCATCCATCCGCTGATGCATCGGCAGATCTCACTAAATACCATTCTCGAATTATCCACGTGGTCATGGTCACTTAATCGCAGCATAAACAACGAAAGCGCCTTTAGCTCTTCGCTATCTGACAGCCATGGCAGCCGCTGGGATTGGGCCAACCCAAAACATTTCACAGCAGTATTTTCTAAAGGGAATGAATCGAACCTTACGATCAAAACGTCGATTTAGCAGCAACTGACCTTAGTTTTCAAAACGCCTCACTAATCTAGAGAGCGGGCTCTCCCTCGGGTCCATCTGCCGTCATGCGGGCACAGCTGCAGTGACGTAGCCCACCACGCGTTCCGTGGTGGGGCTAAAATATCACACCGATATTGTGCGTACCGAGTTAACTGCTGGCAAAAATACAGCTACTTTATGAATCATGGGATGCCACGACGCTTTATTTCTCGGTTGCTACAACATCACCCGACAGGCTAGCCATCTGTCACAATAGGCACTCGGGTGGACGGGAACCCTGAGGGTTTTTCCAAAATGATTTCCGAACGGCGCGGCGAAGCCGCGTCAAATTGTGCACAGCTGTAGACAACTGGACCGTTTGGCATCAAAAACTTAGATGCACCTTGTAAGGCCGTTGACCTACGGCAGGTCAAAGTTATTCCATGAATTTAGCAAAGATAATTTCTGGGAATCGTTTAATCTGATGCAGCAACGGAGCGTTAGGCGAAGCAATACATCTCTGAAATAGTTTCCTAGGCAACACAACAATTAAATTAACCAATTCCATCGACCAAAAGTTAACTATGAGGGTCAGATCAAGGTCAAAACCAGCCAGGCTTTTTAACTCGGGTTTGCTGAATGAGGTAGTTTTTGGAACTTATTTTGATTTTATTGATGACAGGAACGGCGTTATGCATCTTCTACGGGCTTCTCAAAGGACAGAATAGGTCGCTGGCTTAAAATCACCCAGGTCAACGTTTTGTTTTTAAGAACATATTATCTAGCATAATCCTTGACATTTGTCCAAATGCAAAAAACAACGCAGCCCCTATTCTTTTGGTCACCTTCGAAAGGTCAAACAAGGTCACTGACCTTTAGTGAACAACGGTGATCCTTTGCTACGAATATGTATCTAGGTGCATGGCGGTTACATGAGAACGTCTGGGAGCACTTGTACTCCAATCTGGTATTTCACCTTGTTTGAATTCATCTAACCCGAAGGTCATTACCTACGAACCTTAAATTTCTACACAAGTGAGCTCACGTACAGGCCAACCCGACCTGTGAACTTAGTATTTCTAGCTTTCTTATTTTCTTAAATCTGAGGGGTCAAATTGTGACCTCACCAGGGCGAAGGATATTCAGCCGGCCGCCCGAGCACGTGTTGATGTGGTATCAGAGGCGTAGGTTCCCAACATGAGTTTGGGACTGATAACTGAAAAACAAAACAACTAACCCAAAAACGGGTTTCTCACCGGATTTGACCCACTTTGTTCTCAAGGTAAGGAGAACTTGGCTTGGAATCCAGGTTGGGGGGGGGGGGGAGCTGAAACCCCTAGACTGAAAAAAGCCACACCCATGGTTGGTATGCGTTGAGAGCGTAACCTCGATACCATGCGGAGCAGCACGCGCCACTTAACTTACTTCATAATGGCAAAGTTATCACATCAACGACCGTCACGTTGCATTCATATTTAATCTAATTCATATTTAATAGAGACAGTCGCGTTGCAGTACGGTGTTTTGTCGGTGTTTTCGTTTTGTTACTTCCTGTTAATTATTTCTTACCAGCATGAGATAGCGGTACAAAAGTTGTGCAAGAAACTAGAGCTTCACAAGAGTTCTCCCGATTTATTCTAGGTTTCGCAATGGAAAACCACCCCAATCGCCGTCATGAAATCCCAACAATTCAGCATAAGCTCACATTAGTCAGTACAAACCATCACAGCGTTTCGGGAGGACATTTGAGCAGTTCACCAAGAACTTTCAGTCTTATGCTGCCTCACACGGACTAAAAATGTCAGTGTGAATGCCAGGCAATTAACAGCAGAGTAAAGTTTTTCCACAGAAAAATAGCCCTCATCCTAATTCGCAGTTTTTTACAACGCCGAATGTTAGAGGGGGGGGGGGGGCGTGCACCCTGTTGCCACTTCCCCACTAGAAAGACAGAGCTTAACGGAAAACGCCAGTGCATTGTGTCAGCGAGATGCTGCGATTGTTGACGTGTTGTATGTTCATATGTCAATAATTGATCCCACTATGCCAGGTCATTGATCAAATTTCCCTGAAAATCTATCTTTTCAGCTCTACATGCTCATATGTGCGAGACGATATCCGCAGCAAAAAAAAAAAAAAAAAATAGGTGTGCTCTTGGTTTAATCCTGAGTACAATGACACGTAGTTTTGTATGCTTTCCACATATGTTTATGATGCAGGGCTCCACTGATGTAACGGTGGCGGCCTGCCTCGCTCGGCCCGCGGACTCTTCGGTTGCCGCCCGCCGCTTGCGCCGGCCGTAGATCGCCGTCCATTGTTTCTCCGTCGCTACTCAGACGACAGAAATGACAGGGACATGACGTTGGCGTCAAAACGCGCGCAAGGAGCTCCTCAGAGGCTAACTAAAATCTGGGTGCGATTTCGTGACGCGCCGGAGAGGTATTCTCAGATAATCTTATGGGGGCATATCGACCTTCCTATTGAGGTGAATGTTAAAGCGTGTGGAAGTTCGGTATGCATGCCAATGTCAAACATGGCGATGAGCAGCGACTATGCACCAGCTCTAGCTTTATGATTTACAGACTATCCTGAATCAGTTTTTAATTAAATGTGATCTAAAACTTCTGTTGTGAATGCGATACATCGCCGACATTTTCGGCCTATTGACACATGGATTGAGCCCAATGCTGTTTTTGCACTCAACACCGCCACGTAATTCCCTTCAGTCTGGCACACAACGCACAAAACGTGGTAATTCCACTGAAAGCTATGCAGCATATCTGTACTTTAAGTTTACAGACCCATTGACAAATTGCTTTACAATTCGGCAAGCCATGGCTGCAAAAAGTTACCCTTACATCACAAAGTTGGAGAACGGTGCGTGTCTTTTTTGATCCCCAGACACATAGGCGTAATCTAGCTAAGCTTTCCTTTCTTTTCCGTGAGACCAAACACCTGCAACACCAAGTGAGTTCTGCCACTTGCGTCTTCATTTCCCACTTTTGTGATGAATACTGACACCCGCTGGAAGGTTTTTCTCTATCCTTTGCTCGTTATGGGTCATCGAAACCTTTCGGTTTAGCAGCCTGTATGTCCGGCAGCCCTTAGGCCAAAGGACAGCTTTAGGCCCGAGCTTAGCCCGAACATCGAAGGCACAACAAAAATATATGTGGCGTGAACATGTAGAAATGTAAGTGCAAAAGTGTAAGAACGTTTGTTTTTTAATTCAAAAAAGGAAAGGTAAGAATGTAAAATGCAAAAATGTACTGAGCGTTAGAACTTGAGAACCAAACTGCTGGAATGTTGATGATGTTTGTCAATGTTCAGAATCACTGAAATTCGTGGTAAAAATGCTCTAACCACGCTCTCGGTATGGGTGATCGTAACATCCCGGGCCTAACCGTTGAAGAGTCGTGCAATCCTTAGCGAAGAGCACTTCACGGATTGGATCAATTCATGGATTATAGATCAATCCGTGGGCAAGATTGAAGAGGATCAGAGATTTTCACCAAAACATGGCTAAGGACTGAACCAGATTTTCAAAGCAGCCAGCACACACGGATTGAGCGGACTGAAAACATCTCCAGTGGACAGTACCGCTAAAAGTTCATGAAATTCTCGATGAAGACATCAGTTTAGAAAAGAATCTTTTAACCAATACAATTTAGTGACCTCGATGCCAGGTATTGTACAAACAGGTTGCATAATACATAACTCAGTCACATATTCCACAAACACATTTTCTGATGAACTGATCACATTGACAAATCGATATGAATGCTACTCATATCTGTTGATGTGGAAAATTAGATCTCTCATTCCTTCAAAGACAACTAAAATGTCCGGTAATATAAAAACTTATCTTTTTTAGCCCAGCTACAGTTATTCGTGATCTTGTCAGCAGCCTCGTGGCTAACGATTAAACCCTATTTTTAAAGCAGCCAACGCACACAGGATGGACGGATTGAAAACAATTCCAACGGACATTACCACTAAATGGTTCCTGAAATGCTCAATGAAGGCATCAATTTAGAAAAGACATCCATAACCCCAGTGGATGACATTGCATTTCAGAGCTGAAAAGCTGGAAGAAGCATGCATTTGTTGCAGAAAGCACACAACAGTTTTGAGATAAAAAAAATAAGATAAAATACAAAATAACATAAAAATATTACTATAGGTCTGAGAAAAATCCCCCAAAATATTAACTGCATGCCAACACTATAGTATCGGTTTACCTAGTCAGTCAGCCAACGTAATGAGCGTAACAACAGCTTTGATTTAAGCATGCTGCTTCAGCTGATCCATTTCCTGGTGTCAAGCAGAACAAATATTGTTGCATCCTCACAGATAATTTCATACCTCAAGTGAAGATCTAGTAAGATTTAGAGTAGCTTGTGCGATCACCCGAGCCTTTGGCAAGCTGCTCGCATGTATACAAGATGTCAGAGCACCAGTGGTCATGGCAGATGTCGGATGGCGGGCGAAATACACTTAACTCTCTCACCGCGTTTTGTGAATATGGGAAGATTTTGTAGCTGTGTCTGTGGTAGTGACGGTGCACGGGAGACGATGCACACTCTGGTTAAAACACTGTGCCAGCCAGCAGCGTTTGTGGAACATATCTTAGCGTCATTGCAGAAACATGCAGAAAAAGGCAATAACGGGTACAAAATGACAAAGCGTTGTCATTACATTTGTAAAAATTGTTTTACCCTATTTAAATGTGACTTCATGCTGCTATGCGATGCACAATCGCATATAACAAGAGTTTTCGTACTTTTTGGGCATGAACAACAAAGGGAGGCCTGGCATCACCTGTCATTTCAGCAATGAGGTAAAAAATGACGCAGCTATTTTATATTCCTCAATGAAACGGTGCTGCAGGCACCTACCAGTGTACAGTCGTGCGTGTGGCCGACAATTTTGACGCAGCCGGTTATCTAGCAGGAAATAAAGGGCGCAGTTGGGGTTGTTTCGTCGGTTGGCGTGTCAGAGAGGGATACACGCCAAATATGTAGTGCATCAAATGTGATATATATATATATATATATATATATATATATATATATATATATATACACACACACACACACACACACACACACACACCACACACACACACACAACACACATACACACACAACACACACACACACACACCACACACACACACACCACACACACACACACACACACACACACACACACACACACCACACACACACACACACACACACACACACACACACATACACACACACACACATACACACACACACATATATATATATATATATATATATATATATATACATATATACATACAGTGTATGTATGTAGTTCATGTGTCTAAAAACTATATAGTGATGAAATAATTATCAAATATGAGGTGAGCTGATCGCTCTAGTTATTCACAAGGCGCTCAATGTGGGTGTCGCCCTGCGCTTGTGGACTGGGTGCCGCTGAAACTGCCTAGTGGCATGTGTGGGTATGTTGCACTTAACCGGCAGACTGAAAATGTTAGATGTCCTCATGCCTTCCAGGATATTGAAACTAAGAAACGATATTGGGCGCTGTGATATTTGGGTGATGATTGCGAATCATGAACCAAAATAATTGCAATATGATTAATAACATGATGAGCCTGGTTAATTTTGATTTTCATGCAAATTGCAATTCTAATAGGCAACAAGTTGTGGTCAGTTTTTGAGCATCCACTGGTTTAGCCAAACTTTGAATACTTTCCAATGAAAGTTGGCAATAACTTCAATTCAAGGGACTTAAATAGGTCAAATTAGCTATCCAAGTTTTAAAAAGTCCTCAATGTGAAACGGATTGGCACGGATCCATTAACTAATTTTTCTGGTAAGTAGGACCGGACAGGATTAAATTGAGAAATCTGAGAAAATGGATTGTAGGGCGGATTGTATCTGGATAAGCCAAACTGGACTGGACCGGACGCTGAAAACTCAATTCATGAAGTACTTCACCTCAGCGTAGTTCCGTTTGTTAAGTGTAAGAATGTGAGATTCGAACTATAGATTATTTTGATGCATTGTTGGCAGCATCTATAGTCATGTGCCTTGGTTTTAACCACGAGAACTTTGGCCTTCGCTGTCAATGCTTGTCGTAGACCACGTTCAAATGCTGAATGGCTCGAAACGTTGACGTTTCCTCAGTTCAACCAATGCTTGTTTGATAACGTCGTTCAGTCAGCTTTACCATCACACGTCAGAGTTGGCGCTGATGCAACATGCGCTGCTTCACGCAGGGATTGGTACCATACACTTCTTATAGCCCGAACTGATAGAAGAGAGGGGTTGACGTCACCCCTGGCCGCTTCCAAACTAAAAGAGATAGTGTAGCGAAAAAGTCAGTGTTTTTTTTGCCAGTCATTAATTAAACCCGTGATGGCGATTGAAATGGAAATCGTCCTGGAAATCGTAATATGTCAGCTTTACATGTCAATATTAGCGAAACCACACCCAGAAACAACGTGAAAATCCCACAGACGTGTTCCTTGTTTGATTATGAGTAGAGGGCTTGTAACTTTGTGTTTTGAGCTTCAATGTATAATGCAGGGCCTCGTTAATGTAACATTGTCGGCCCGCCGGGCGCGGTCCCTGCAGGCCGGGCGCGGCCGGCCCAGGAAGGTTGCCGCCCGCCGCACGAGCCCGCCGTGAAGCGCCGTGCAGTACTCCCAAAACATTATCGCTACTCAGAAACCTGAATCACAAGGATCACATTTTTATGTAAAAACACACACGACGGACGCCTCAGGAGTTCGGGAACTATACGCACGATTACAAGTGATTTCGGAGAGGTGTCCTCAGAAGCGCACGCACGCACCAGCGACGCACGAAACGAGCGCCATTTTTCACAAACTAGTTGATCAGTTTTGTGCGTTGATCAAATAAAGTTGCAAAATGGCAATTTCACATCATTGGCTACGACTACTTTGCACTACGCTAGCACCATCCGCGTACAGAGGCCTTTCTCTTCCCTGTGTGTCGTCGCTACTGAGGATGTCACATCGGAAATAGGCCCGAAATCAGCTAATTCCCAAATTGATTGCCTTCATGTTCAGGGGCTGAAAGGGTTAAGGTCTAGATTAGAATATGACTATGAAAAATCCGTATTTGCCAGCTCTATAACCTTTCTACTTCAGTTCAAACATGTGTATATATGCTAAGAACTCTCTTTAAACGTGTCTTCCAGGCACTTATTTAGGGATGAAATATGAAACATATTGTTTCGTAGGTAGTGACTACGCTTACCTAATGAGTTGGCAAAATTAGAGTCTCAGACGAAACTTCACTTGATAAGATATAAAGCGGACATTATTGCTGTATGTTTTTGGAAGCAAGAAAAAAACATCAGCTTACAGCATGGTCTCACAACATCATCCGGTGCCTTCCGCAGTCATGACCTTCGTAAGACTAATCCCTGCTAGGTTCTCAGCTACACGCCCGTGTAGAAGTGCCACATTATTTCGTGCAGAAATATTTCGAGGTCGTCCAGGCATCCATGGACGCCATAATAAACACGAGGCCCTGCCATTTTGTTTGGCCATGCGGGCAATCAAAGCCAGACAACACAAATGACGAGTCGTTCACATCTGGCGTTCGTGACCACGTTTCAAGATTATAACGGACGCCAATTGGCTGTCATTAATGTGGTGCAAAGTACATGACGCAATCAAACACTGACGTATTGAGGAGCTTATTTACAAATAGAGAAACTGTGTTTTCTAGAGCAGTCTTTTCACTTAAAAGTGCACCGTCAGTACTTATAAGTGGACGCTGGTGATGCTTGTTTGAGTATCTTCAAATGAGGACCATTCCCTTGAAGCAAAAACATGTGTGTACAATAGCCAGCTGTTCCAAAAATGCATACACCCAAACTTAAATAGATTAACGAAAATCTCGCAAATATAGTGTTTAAGAGAAAGCGTTTCATCATGAATATCGACCGGAATAGGAGATCGACTTCCGCTACCTGTCACTGATCGCCCTACTCGGAGGAGGTTGTCGACAATCTGGCCTGTTTCGACATACGCCAACTCGGAGTCTAGCCGCTCCTGAGGTGGGCATCCCGTCCCATCAAGCTGGCGCGGCGACTTATACACTCCTGCGATCACAAAACGGGCGCTATCAACCCCTTCTCGTCATCACCACCAGAACGGCCAAGCGATGTCATCGTCCTGTTTTTCGCCGCTCACGGCGATATGGAATGCTGCCATAGAGTTTTTACACTAGAACTTCAACCAATACAGTCAAATCACCTACCTGAGAGCCAAGAGCCGTTGAAGGCGTTGATCTGAAGTCGTTGCCGACGACATCTTCTAAAGTGAAGCGGCGTCCGTGACCGGCGTCCGGGTGTCCTTGGGCGTCAGCATGATGGCCGAAACGACGATCATGGAGAAGATGAAGGTGATGACCAGCAGCGCGAGGATGATGCCGCGCCAGTTGCGCTGGTTCGGTGCCGCGGCCACCAGCTCCTGAGAACGAGACCAGGTCTCATGCGCAATCCGACGAGTGCTGGTTCAGTTGTATTCAGCTCGTTTATTAAGTGAGCTTCCTTGTGGTGGCTGTTCTGCACCCAGTTGTTTTTATGCAATAAATTCACACGCACACATACGGTTGCACTGCTTAGTCACAACACGCGGCCTCCTCCGGCGAGCGCGTTTGAACGACCTATGCTCTAGGCTGCCAACTTCGGCCGTGTGGCAGTCATAGGGGAGCCGACGCAGGAAGCCTGACATCTCCAGAGGATCAACAAAGGGTGTTTGGACTCTCACCGTTCTATGAGGCGTCGTCCTCAGCACTGGCAACACGCCTCTAAATCTGGCACTCGCTTCGCAGTGTCTGTGTCTGTTTGACAAAGCAGGTTCAGAAACGGAACAATGTGTGATTTATGCTCCCATATAAACGGCTTGTCCGAATCCACGGAAACCGCAGGAAACAAAACTGGGCCGCAAATCCACACACAACGACACTTCTACCTTAACTCAGGTTTCTAAAACATGTGTATGGGGTTTTAAGCTGAAAAAGCCATCTTGAAGACCATTCAGTGCATTTCACAGCCCTGCGCTTCTTAAGACCTAAATCCCTCCAGTCTCTGAGCTGCACGCCCGCTAAAATTGCAGACTATTTCAGGGAGACTATTTCAAGGTCAGCCAGGCTTTAACGACGCCATGATAACGTCATTTAAATTCTGTCATTTCATTAGCCATACGGCGATCAAAGCCAAAACATAGAATTGTAGGGTCGTTTATATCTAACGTTCGTGAGCACCATTTCCAAATGTAGCGGCCGTCAATTGCCTATCAAGCAATGTTGTGCAAGATACGACCACGTTATCAAACCATGACGTATTGAGGAGCATATTTACACAACTGAGAAATCGTGTTTTCTAGATCAGTCTTTTCCAGTTAAAGTACACCAATGGTAATAATCGAGCTTGTTTCATCCTGTCTGATGTTTTCTTCAGTATTTTCAAATGTGGAACATTTCATTTAATTGCAAGTCACTGTCGGAGCACAATCTATCTTATTAGCATGGCACGTCTCTAGCCCAGCAGAGAAGAGAAATT